TTCCGATACTGATTGAATGCTCTGCTCTCACAACACCACCTTCCTACTATAGGCAAGGTGGTAGAGCATAATCTGTTGTCTGTCATCTGTTAAACTTGTTTTATTATGCATCAGCATGTTTATCTTCTTTGCTAGGCCTGGTCCAAGACCCGCAGTGAGACCTTGTGGTCCCTTTCTATTCATTGTCTAGAGCAGCACTTTCCTTGGATCCGTGTATGCTTTTTCCTACAGTTGTTTATCAGTATCAAATGCATTGAGTCCAATTCAGAGTGTAAATACTTGTTTGCTTATTTGGTTATGAAAATGTTTGGGGATTCAAAACATTCAAGTGACTGCAGCTAGTATATGAAGAACATGGAGGTTTGGGGTTATTCTTCGAGTGGGCAAAAGTGGAAGAGGATACCAGAGGGGCGAAATGACTGAAATTCCCTGGGCCAGAAATTTACATTAAAAAGAAGAGAGAACTAGGAACCCTCTACCTCCTTGCTGCTAATTGACCTCTTCAGGCTCTTTGAGGTGGAAATATTCCATGCCAGTTGTAGTGCAAGTAAGGAAAATGTATGTTAGGGAAGTCTAAGAGCACATGATGCATGAGAAAAGGCTGAGGGAAACTGGTTTGTTCAGCCTCCAGAAGAAAAGGTGAATGGGAGATCATATTGCTGTCTTCAACTTCCTAATGGGAGGGCAGAGAAGAGACAGAACCAGACTCTTCTTTAAGGTAAGTAGGGGTAGGAAAAGAAACAACAACCACAATTTGCAATACAGGAGATCCCAGTTTGACACTGGGAAAGAAAATTTCACACAAGAGTGGTCAAGCACTGGAAGAGGTTGCCCAGAGAAGTTGTGGAGTCTTCATCCTGGGAGATACTCAACCTAGACTGGAAAGGGCCTTGAGCAACCTGAGCAAATCTAACCTACTTGGAGCAAGAGGTTGGACCAGATGACTTTGAAATGTCCTTTCCAACTGAAATAGTTATGTGTACCTATAGCTCTTACTCAGTTGGTCTGTGAGGTTTTGGGATTGTTTGGGTGCATTACTGTTTGGGCAGGTGAGAGGGCAGCTGAGGTCTAGGGGAAGGAGAATGTTTAGAAATACCATTTAATTTATATAGGTTCCCTAAACTTTATTTGTCTGTCCTGTGGTTTTGAGAGGCTCTGTAAGCTGTCTTCCTTCTCTTTTAACTTGAGGATATATGGTTGTCCTGTGTCTGCCATTAACACTATACATAAGTGCATCTGCGTTGAGATTGATACCTCAAAATTGAGCCTCAGTACAACAGGAGTCGTTAGAAGACTGAACTGGATGTCACTGGTGCACTCAGTGAGCACAGCCAGACACAGGCTTCAAAAGATAGACTCAAATGGCTTGCTGTAGGAGGGTCTTGGAGATAGAGTACAAATTAGGATATTTTATGCATTCTGTCCTAATTATATTCTCATGCCTAGAAAGATTAGAGAAAGAACAAACATGACTTTCTTTTAATAAGAGATTAATAAGGACATGGGGGAATGGACACCTGCACACTGCTATCTTCAAAAACACATACTGTGATGCATAGTATTTCTAAAAATGGGAGAAATGCTGAGATGTTCAGATTGACATTTCAGTGCCTGTCTGATTTCAGTGTCCGTCTGAAATATAGGGTTCAATAATCCTATTACATTTGTCTGGCACACTCCTCCTTCTTTAACAATGTGCCTCCCATAACTGCTATAATAAGGCAGAACAGCCAAAGCCTAATTCTGTGTGCCTCATCCTATCATTCAGCAAAGTTACATCGTCATCAGATGCAATCTATTGTTTTCTTTCCTGCTGTGTGGTATTGATTTTTCTAACCTTTCCTAATGTTAAATTTGTTTGGCTTTTTAACTTTCTTACCAAAGGTTAATGTTATTAAGTTGAGCAGGTATCTATAAAAATAAAAGTGTTATTGCCTATCTTGCAATTGTTATACTGTCATTAAACCCTGGCTGCATCGGAAAGCTCTGTCTTCAAGGTTTTTCTCATTCGGGAATAATATGGTGAAGGTTAACAAGAGCAGCATTTGAATTGTTGTCCAATTCTGTGGTATAAAATATTGGATTTGATATGTCAGAAGCAACAGATTTATCTAAAACTCTCTTACCGTCAGTGAACATGAACTGCACAGATATTAATTCCAGCGAGGCTGTAAAGAGGATGCAGGAAGATGTGAGTCCTGCTGCCTGTCCACTTCCCCAGTACAGTCTAACCATGCCAGTCTCTTTGCCATTGTGTCAAAAGGAGCAGTTCTGAATCTCTGCCAATTCCAGAATTGGTTATCTGCTTGATGTGGAAAGAGAATGAGAAATCACAGTTTAATTTGAAGGAAGTGGTGGCTTTAATGGTGGCACTCTGTCAAAAATTTTCAGTATGATCTACAGCAGTACTTGCATGAAGTGTCAAAGGTGCAGACAGTGAGTAAACAGTTTCAGGATACCACTGTTAAGCCAAGTTTCGTTTTTAGTTACTGCTGCCACAGTACCCTCTTGGTATCAATATCACGGGTACAGTGACCTGCCTTTAATGAATTGTGCGTTTGACATCCTGTTTACACATTTAGATTGCATCTCTGTGACATGTATTTGAGGCCTTTTATTCTGAATATGGGCAAAAGACAGTAGCAGGTCTGAACGTAGGATGTCTATGTGTGGTGCATCACAGCTTTCTTCTGGAGCTGTGGTAGATGACCTACAGTGCTCTCCAGCCACCATGCTGATGTTATCTTGCCTTGGTGGTACCTTGTAGTTGCTCCAAAATATTTTTCTTATCAAAGAACATCCTGAGAAGCTAGGCAAGAACTAACCTCAAGTGAAATGTTTTTAATAGTAGAAAGCACAAAATAATAAAATAATTAGAGCTGTTGTAGATCATCACTTAAAAAAAGAAAAAAACACAGACAATTTGGTCTTCCCTGGGTGGAAAGCAGAATTGCAGCCTACCTGCAGCTGCCAAAACCTGACTGTCCAAGGAGGAGATCAGGCTTGTTAGTGACTGCAGGAAGGAGTATTTCAAAGTGCTGGAGGAGAGCGGGGTTTAAATCTTTTATTTATAAATTGGTACCTATAAACCACTTACTTCTGCCAGCGCTGTGAAGCCAAGGAATGGCCCTGGCAAAAGATAAAAGACCTTCCTTCTCTACTGCTAATTTAAGAACTGGTAACTCGGGTTCTGTCTCTTCCCCCATGCTCAGCAGTACCTGTCCCTGCCATTGATTTAGTCTTCATCTGTCACGTTCTCGTGCTGTTCAAAGGCTGATCGTGAAAGACTGGGGAGGTTCTGTCTGTTCACAGTTCCTCACAGCTTGGTCTCTCTTGCCACTATCAATGCTGATAACGAGACTGTCTGAGAGCACCCCGTTCTTAGTGAATGAGACATCTTTTCATTTAGAGTGGTTTTGATTAACAAATTACCTTCAGTAATTTTCAGATCCAACTGTGAGCTCTCTTGGTGGGCCTGAACATCCCTATACCTTTCTTGGGCTCCCTTGGTGTCTCTGTCTGGCGTTGCACAACTCACATGTTCATTACAGACTCCAGATGGCTTGCGTCCCTTCTCCCCCCTGCCAATTTTATGTTTCGGCCTTTCCTGGTGAAGAGTGGAGACATGGCAGCTCTTCAAATTATATGATGCTTAGCACTGAGTCCAGGCTCCAGCTGCATTTTCCCTAGCCTCTTCGTGGTGGCAGCAGCATTACTTCACCTCACTGGGCCTGTTATTACGACTTGAAAAGGTATTTAGAGCAATAATAGGTATCAGAAAGGCTACAGCTTTTGACCAGGTTTCCTTTCAGAAGTTTTTGAGGGGGGAAGAGAAGATGTATAATAAAAAGCATGCCATTATCTCCTCCCTTATCTCTTCCACTTCATCCAAATCCCCTACTGCATGATGGGTTGGTTTGGTTTTATATGCATCCTGGCTGTGCGGGGAAGCATTTTGCTGATAATGTATGTCTTCCTATTGGATGCTCATTATTTTGTTGGCTGCAGTCCACTAAACTCCATCCATGCACGCTGATCTGGGAAATTTTGTCTTCTGTGCCTTTATTTTTACCACTAAGGTAGAAGCAACTTTAACGTTTGGGGTTTTTTTCTGCTGTGCTTTATACACACAGGCACACGTACAAAGATTCTGTAGTCTGTATACTTTTCTCTTATCAGTTGTTATTGTGTATAGCAGAAACATAAAATCTGTCAGATAAAGACAAAGCTAGGTGGCTTTTAAGGGGACCTTGAAGTGGTAGGAGAGGGAACCTCTAAATCCATTGTGTATTGTTCTTATTTTAATTTATGCTGCTGTATTGGGTATTTTGTAGCCTTGAAACCTCTTTGAATAGTGACTTTATGTGGTAGATATACTCCACTTTTCCTTACTTAGCTTTTTATCAGAGGCTTAGGAATTGCTTTAGCTCTCAATTAAGAAATCTGAACCCATGCTCTTCTCCACTTTAACATGCTCTCATCCATATTACCCCACTGCAAGGAAACTGTTGTATCACTGCAAATTAACTTGTGCTGTGCGCTGGTGCCCGGAAGCTTGAACACTTTTGTATGCTTACATTTATACACATTTGAATATATGTAACAGAAACGTAGTAACTGTAGCACCAGAGAGGACAGTCATTTTCCTGGAACCTGATTGTGAAAGTTACTGATGACCCAGGGTTAACTATACCAGAACTTGTCAATCCAGCAGAGCATAGTAGAACATGCTTATCTAAACTCACAAATGTACTCGATGGGTTTTGAATATCTACTCCTGTGCCTATCAAACTGCTGTTTCATAATAATTTGTTCAGCTGGGACCTACAGTCTTTGGGCTCTGCAAGAATAATAGTATTTTACTTAATTCTGCATCTCCATGCAGAGTCTTTAAGAGTTCTTGACTGCAGTTAATTTCACCAAAGACAGCATTAGTTCTCAAAATTGAAAGATGACTGACATAATTTTTTTTTCTCTCTGTTTTGCTGCTTCTTCACTAGGGATGTGAGTTAATTGAGACCATGGATCAGGACCTCACAGATTTCACCAAGTGCCTGCAGATACTCCAGAAGAAGATAGAGAAGAACAGCCTCCAGGTAAAGGCAACACATCTTTTGTCTCTGGTTCTTAGTTATTACTCTTCCTCTCAATGTATTTAGTTTATGTTTTAAGTTTGCACTGAAATGAAACAATATTTTCTGTAGCCTTGCCATTCTGCGGTTTTGCCATAATTTACTGCACACCTTGTAAGCATTGATGCTTTTGCTAAAAGGAATTACACAGTGTGTCAATGAACAAGCATTGGCTTTCTTAAAAGGCAGCTTGTATTGATCTCTGTTAATGAACTACCCAAAGTGCAGAAGAGCTGTTGTGGCTGATGTTCAAAGCAAGAGTCCCACTTCGGCATGTAAATATATTTTCAAGTCTTGGCACGCTCAGCCTTGATGTTCATCTCCTTCCTCTCCACTCCCAAAGGTGAGATAGGAGGAGGAATCTTATCCTGCCAATATTACGTATGGTAAGCAATACCTCCTTCTGCAAAAGGTTCCTCTGGAATCAAAGGGAACCTTTGCAGAGCAAGCAGTGCACTAAACTTAAAAGGAGCCATATGGAGTTGTCAGCTGCTCATTTCATTGGAAAGGCAAAGGAGGCAACATTCCCCCTCCCCTTCCACAGTTCAGTTTTGGAGGCCCACTCGTTTCATCTCCCTGAGATGCAACATTAAAATTCCTTGGGAATTTCCAACACGATGAGTCGATGGCAGATGCGCTCTTGGGATTGCTGCCCTTTCCTCCCCATGGAGCAGTCATTCATAAGGGCTGAGCTCTCTCTTCGGCTCTATACGTATGGGTGAAAGGAATTGAGAGGAAACAGCTGCTGCATCCTCTTACCAACAGTGAGGGTAAGAGTCATGTAAGAAAATGAAAACAACAGCACAAGATGTAAGGAGATGTGTAAACCTCCTCTTTTCCCATTTTCGTTGTAGCAGGATAGGAAAGTTGCCTGACTTCCTGAGATCACTGTACTCCAGCAAAGCAGAAAGAGATGGAAATGCCAATACCACTCCCTCTTTCTTCTCTCCTCACTCCAGGCTGATAAATAATTAACCAGGTTTTGCTTAAGCTATTTGGAAATGTCTTGATCTTCTAAAGGAATTATATGTCCATGGGACGTTTCAGAATGCTGTTGCACAACGCCCATCTGCAGTTGTGTCTCCTCTTGCTGCCCTCAATACATACTGTTGTTCATCAGGTTTTTTTCCCCATCAGTGTAGACAGAGATGGGAGGGTTTCTCCGTACACTTCTCTTATCTGTCTGGCTGTGAGCCAGGAAACTTTTATATGATAGCTTATATTTTTCCCCCTATAATTTATCATCACAAGAACACAGAGGGCTGTCTTGCCATCTAGGACACGAATGATAATAAGTGCCGTCAGAACAGATGAGCCACCTACGCCTAGGATTTGTTTTGACTTTGGCAAATAAGGTGCTTCCCTCTTAACAGAATTACCTGTAGAATGAAGGAGAACTCAAGTGTTTCCTGGATTCGGTTCGTTATCAAATCCCAGCTATTGCTATAGAGGGATTTTTTTTAAGCTATCACAAGAGGTTTTATAATGAATAATCAATGTGTGGTTAAAATAAGAGCAATGGGAACATGACAGCTACAGATGTGTTTCAACAATAAGTAGCCTATTTGTAAAACTTTGAATTCTTTGATCACTCTCCTAAGTAAAACCCTGTTAAGTTGGCTAAAGGATACTGCATTGTAATCCTTGATGATATTTGTAAAGTACAAGACAGACTGTAATTGCAGTAATTGTGTAGACTTCATGCCAATGCACTAAACCTAAGATTTCAGTTCAGTTATATTTTCATGCTGTTACATGTAAGATGTGCTTTAAATACAGTCTGAGTTTTTCAGAGGTGCAAGAAGTAACACAGATATGTTTTCTGAAACTAAGTACCATGTTCATTAAATCCTAGCTGCTTCTTGCTTGCAGTGTGTTACATAAAACATAGTAAGATGCTATCAGCAGATTCATGTATGCTACCTAAAGCATGCATTTCTATTTTTGGTCTTCTGCATTTTCTGACATAAGGAGTTTCAAGAAGTCGTTGATTCAACTTAGGCAAATAATACATGAAACTTAAGCAAATGGAACCCAAAACTGTATCACAACTGTATAAATTACTAGCTTGGGTTCCAATTTGCCCCTTGTTCAGAACTGTTAGGTATAATTTGTTAGTAGGAGGCTTGGTGAGTCTTCTGTATGTCCTGATAATGCAGTGCTTAGCTTGATGCCTGGTCCCCCAGTAACACAGAGATTCTGACCATTTGCAATATATACTGGCCTCAGTCCATGGATGTAACCACTTGGCTCCACTGAAACTCTAGCCTCTTTAAATACCTAAATTTGCATTCAATTTCATCATCTTTATGGGTAACATTCTGGCATAAAAAATGTCAAGTGGTAAGGAAACAGACTGTTCAAGCCATATATCTAAAATCTTTGAGGAGAATGCAGATATCTTCAGAGAAGAAAGCTGCCATTGATTTCTGTGGTCACCTGAGAAGTACATGCAGCTGAGAAGAAAAGAAGGGCCAGGGTCTGAAAACTAGAAATGGATAGAGAAGGGGTTCTTCATCTGCATTTGCATTTTTGGCCTGAAGTACAAATTTGCATGTCACAATGTGGGGTTTTTTCCTTCTGGAAAAAAAGATTACAAAAGCTTTCCTTTTAACTGAGAGTATTAACTACGTAGAATGTGTCTTCCTGGTTCCGGGAAAAATATGTATGTCTCCAGCTTTGATTTTTACCCCCTCTGTTTGGCTTATCCAGAGCACTTGTCAAAGAGGAATATGACAAAGAGAAACTACAAATCTGTTTCCCCGTGATTTATAGTTGAAATTACTAAACAAGCAAAGTATCCCTTTAGTATTTAAAAAAAAAAAAAATTGATAACACAGTCATGCTGTGTTTGCTGCTCTTTCTGGGTAGCAATATGTTAAGCTAAGAAATTAATTACATTCAATGTATACCATGGATCCACAATCCCATGACATAGTTTGTCTGGATGAAATTCAACTGTGAGGAGCTGAGATATTTGAAACAGATGTTCCTCTGTTGGTAAGAGAATAAGTTATCATTTATCTGCTATACTGAACGTTTAAAATTTCTACTCTGATCTATCAGTCACCTCTATGGAAGTTCTATGTCAAGGAGGTTTTTGAGCTCACGTGAACATATGGGGGCAATATTTTGTTCCAAAGGAATTAAGTTTGTGTAATTTATTTTCCATGTCTCTGCACATCCATCCTCCTCCTTCTCTTCCTTCCTGCTCACCCAAATAGCTTTTGAGCAAATAACTTTTAAGTAGAGGAATAAAGTACTGAAAGATAATCATGTCAAACAGCAAGCTTTCTCAGAGGTCACCTGGGTGGGAGTGAAGGTGAGATAGACACTCAGTTTCCCTGCTAGAGAGAATGCTGCAAAGTTAGAATTTTACTGGTTATTGGAGAATTCAGTTTGAGAAGAGGCCTTAGAAATGCCTTTACCGCAAGGAAAGATGCAATTGGAGTTGATGGTCAACTGAGACACAAATCTGGGAGAAGAAACACCCTGTTAGTTCTTTAACTTCTTGTTCAATATAAACAGCAGTAAGTCTGTCTTCTAGAATAATTAGCCAAATTGATAACTGCTTTTTCCTTATGTCTCAAATAAAAACTCTTAGAATAGTTTCTGAATCCTCAGGGTGATTCATTTTTGTTTTACATTGTATATTTTGATTGCATAGCGAAGTCATGCAGAAAGCAGCATTGGGTTCATTTTGTGATATCTAAGATACCTAATTATATGTATTTATAATTACATACTGCAGTGAATGTTAGAACAAACAGTACCCTCTATAAGTGCAAGCTAGAATCAGTCTTAATTTTCCCCCTCCACAGCCCTAATTCATTTGTGAATTGCATTGTATTGGATGCGTGAAGCAGTGAAGTACCACCAACAGAATCGTGACTCCTGAAGTTTCTTTCCAACCTAAAGGTTGTTAGATATTTCTCTTTCTCTTTCTGCATGGCTGTGAGTATGCATGCACAAACATGCACGTGCATGTAGGTACATAAAAGCACAAATTTCCTGGCAGTATACCTTCCTGGCCCTATGTGATGCTTTTTTACTGTCTTAATAACTCTGTCTTTATTTCTGCCATGTGTTTCTTTTACGTTGTTTATGGTCTATTGAACACTTAGGTATGCACATTTTGCTTTACTGCTTTAATCACAATTTTATCCATTCTGTGGTTATGTGAGTACTTTCCTTTCTACATTACAAGAACTTAAAGTAAACTTATTTACAGTAATTTCTGTCTGGTACTACTTTCTGTTCTTAATTTTCTGTCGTGTAACACAAGCTATTTCAGGAAACCAACTGAACTGGCAAAACGATAGGAATACTTAAAATATCTCTTATTTAGAGATCAACAGATCTTTCATTAAAAGTGAACACGATTATCTTTGATTTGCAAGTCAGAAGGCAGAAGTACAGAAGCAACTTGTCCAGTCTCTCAGCATACTAGTGGTACAGCTGGGGATGATCCTCCAATTCCCAATCTTCATCAAGTGCTATTTCCGTAGCAGTGTCTCTGTCACAGGCAGCTCATAGCAGCTCGCACCAGTGAGAAGTGGAAGTGTGTTTATCAATTATGCAGCTCCAAGAAAAATCCTCATAATGTAAAGATAAATTTAAGTCATTATCTTCATCTCAGAGTTACAAACTCTGCTTTCTTTAACTGTTTCATCTAAAATACTATTTAGTCTTAAAACTAAGCTCTGGGACTTTTCATTCAACTTTATTATCTTTTCTGCTTAAAAAAATTTAAAGCAGCTCATTTGGTTATATGGGCTTAAGATATTAAAAAATGAATTTTATTGAAACCTACATGCCTTTTAGTGGTTTAATGTTAGTGTGTTTAAATTGATAAAAGCATCAGTGTCAATATGAAAAAATCCAAACCAACTCTTACTAAAAACCCGTTGCAGTAAAGGGATACTATACTAACATTTCCATCTTAAAATAACATTTTAAGGGTT